CCTGGATTACTCATACTCAGCCATCTTGATTTGACTTTTTTTGTCGAACAACCTAGCGTTGCGGACCCCCGGGGCTCCTCCCTCTCAACCTACACTTTCCTTTCTCTAGCTCTTGCTCATCTTTCTCTCTCCACTCGCCTTCTTGCTTTTTGATCAGTTAATGAGAATGTCTGGCGGCTGGGCAACTTCCTGGCCTTGACAGTAGCATATGCAACTCTTGACCACATAGTTAGTTTAGATTTTTTTTCACACAATACTCGATAATTTATGTATATGCACCATTTGCTGTGCACCTTGAGCACTTTATGGTTTTACCAACAATGCACTGCTGTGCAAGACTCCTATGCTGTATGGTTGAGTACACCGGTTTTTGTGACATTCACCTTTGTGTCACTTTCATATTGAATGTAACTGTCATTTGGTGGCTCTGACTGAATATTGACAAAAACCTTTGTAGTAAAAAAAAAAAAAAAAACACCCATCAGATTCCCCAATCCATACAGTTGATGTGGATGGTGAAATCACTACCGCTGTGCTATTATGCTCTGATGGTGGGCGACTTCACCATCAGAATACCATGATCTACGCTGATCTGACCGACAGGCTGGTTGTAGAGAAGATTGCCAGTAGATAGATTTCTGTACAACCAGAGTGGCCATACATGGATGAAAATTCGTCTGGTTCCTGCTGAACATGGCAAATTTTGATCCATGTATAGCTGGCTTTACTCTCAAAAGGAATAATTTAGGCCTCTTCCACAACACCTCTATTCCAACATATTGGTGCCATCAGTGCTGGGACAAGGACATCTAGAGCCCAGGGCGAACATGCCAAATTGCGACCCCCACCCAAAGATGAGTGAGCATAATGTTTCTGCAAACCCCCCCAAAAGAGAAAAAAAAAAAAAAAAATCAAGCTGCATGCTTACCACCTAAGCATAAAGTCCCCCTCCTCTCATTACAAATCCGCCCCCTGCTGAAATCGCCCCCCCCCCCCAGCTCAAATCCTTTTTCCCCATATGCCGCAGAACAAAAATTCCCCCCCTCCCCAATTTCCCCTCCTAGCACAAATACCCCTCAATTATCCTTAGTACAATTCCCCTCCTAGCTCAAATCCCTTCCCCTAGCATATCATACCTTTTCTAGCACAAACCCCTTAAATCTTCTCAACTCTCAACACAAAATCACCACTCCTAGCACACCTCCCCAAATTTCCACTCTAGAAACAATTCTTACCTGCTGCCCCCCTCCCCCCCAACACAAATTCCCTCCCCCACCTCACATGATACCACACTGCCACCCCTCCTGCCTACCCCTTGTCCCGGGCTTGGGTGTTATTTATAAAATTTCCACTTTTGAAGCAATTTTTACCCACTGCTGCCTCCCCCCCAAATTCCCTCTCCCAACACAAATCCCCTCCCCCCCAATCTCCTCAGAGTGCCCCCCCCCACGATACCACACTGCTCAGGGCAGCCGCCCCTCCTGCCCTCCCCTTGTACCAGCCCTGGGTGTCATTTATAAATGACTTTAAAAAGCTGGAGTTGTGACTAGTTCTGAAGTACAGGGGAAATCTTTCAATGGGGCCCACTTATTTTGTGACCTCTACAAGGAGACCCCTCATCTGTGGAGGGATGTCCTCTTACTCCCGGTTGTGTTTTGAGACAAAAGGTGTATGGCCACTAACACTCAGACAAGGTGCTTCTCTACAGTACAGATGCATTTGATAACAGGATGATTGCTCATTGCCTGGCTTAACTTTGTTTAAACCAGCAAATTTGAGTAGAAAAGCCTGTCCAGCATGCTGCAGAGAAGGATGCTTGCTGTGTGTGGAAGCAGTGATCCCTTTCCAGAGGCCCAACACACCCTCTTGCTGTTGACAGTATTGACAGGCAGGGATCTGCAGGGGGTTGGGGATTGGACATGAGGATTTTCTAGTTGCTGGTTTGGTCTATGGCAACAGCATGGCTTTGTAGTAGAAGAGTCCAGGTGCTTAACTGGCCCACCTGCAGTCCAGACCTTTCATCAACTAAAAATATTTGGCTCATCTGGAAGAAAAAAAAAACCCCGGGACTGTTGAGTAGTTTGAATCCTATATCAGGCAAGAATGGGACAACATTCCTCTCAAAACTCCAGAAACTGGCCTCCCCAGATGTTTACAGAGTGTTAAGAGGGGATGCTGTGATAAACATGGCCCTGTCCCAACTTTGAGACATGTTGCTGAAATAAATTTCAAAATGACTTTGAGTACATTTTCTCAGTTTAAACATGTGATGTTTTCTATGGTAAATAAAATATGGGTTTAGGAGATTTGCAAAGCATTTAATTCTGTTTTTAGGTAATTTTTACACAGCATCCCAACTTTTTTGGAATTGGGGGATGTACTTCCTTTACTAACAGATGCACCTGCTCTCAATGCTGTATAAACTGTATGAAGATTCATACAGGCAGAAGCATGGGGGATTTTGCTTCCCTGGAACAAAATGGAGTTAGGCAGAGTGCATAGAAAGCCATGTATTTTATGAATGAATACAAGGCGTCTTGTGATTGGAAGTGGAGAGGCAGGCAGATCTCAATCTCTGAGCCAGAGGAAGCATTTTATTAATTCATAAAACACAAGGCTACCTATGGATGGTTGAGCAGTGCCCATCTCGACTATTTTGTTCCAGGAACAGAAGTCCACGTACCACTTCAGAACATTGTATGTACACATGGCGTATACTATATGTGGACGATGCATACAGTTTATACAGCAACCAATAGGAAAGCCTGGCCAAAACAATCAAAAGTCATAGAAAACCTGGAGTTCGGCTTTAATGAAAGCGAGATGGATCAGAAATTTCACAACAGGGTAATAGGCCATTATTATGCTCTTCAGTCTTGCAACCACCAAGGTTAAGAAAAAGCCACAAACATTTTCAATTTAAATAAGAAAGCACATTTATTGGCACAACGAAGGTTACACCTTCAACATAAACAAAAAAATAAAAAAAGACAACACAAGTTATTGCATGGTACCTTGTAATATTCTGATAAGGAGCAACAACTTCTCTTTATACAGTAGTAATAGTGACCTCTATTGCTGAAACCAGTTGTATTCTTCCAGCAGCCAAAAAGGTTAAAAAGTAAACATTCCAGTGTTAACCAACACAGCAATGGAATTGACAACCTTAAGGTGACCATACACAGGACATGATTGTCCAGTAAGATTTTTTTAGTTATGACCTATTTTTAGTGCTTCGAAGTGACACTTCACACTTTACTCCAGAACTGGAAGCATGTGCATACAAATCCTACAAATGCATCTTATTTGTCGGATTCAGTACCAGGCCAAAAAAATAGAAAACTTTTAGATTTAGATTTCCCAGCATCACTTTCTAGGAGGACAGTTACAGTTTTATATTTGGAGGTTGTTAAACTGCTACCCAGGGCCCCAGGGCATCCAAATTAGAATTCCACTCACCGGTGGCTGTGTAGACCCTACATTGTTAAGACCTCCACAAAAAGACCAAACAAGTCTTACGGTTCTGCCCAATGCTTAGGATCTGGAACATCCACCAAGTTTTAATCAAGACTTCCTCTGTATGGTCACTGTAAGGCCATCCCAACCATATTGAGACTTAAATATTGCTTGTTATTTTAACATAACTAGTGCATTGTTCCCTATACATTTGGACATGCATCAAATGCCAAGCCTACCCAGCGCTGATTTATACTACAGGCTTACAGGATCTCTTTCTCAGAAAAAAAATTATCATGTTGGAATTTGAATGGTGGTTATCCATGCATTTTAAAAAAAAAAATCTGCTACAAATTGCAACCCGATTTTATCTATCATCCAAGAATGGAAGATTTGGTGCTTCCATCTGATTGGTGGCTGGAAACAATGCAAACATTTTCCCCCTTTTTATAAACAAGGCCCAGATTGTCTTGTATTTTACAAAATACATTGCCAAGATTAACAAAAAAAAAAAAAAAATCAAATGCGATCTGGTTTTTATAAAAAGGTTTTAGGAGAAGCCAATGTGTTGTGGTTTTGTATAGTGTAGTGAAGTATTAGAATCTCTAATATTTATTACCGTCTAATCCCCCCCAGGGAGATTGTACCATATTAGAGGTTCTAAATCTTCCCATTTCTAGGCAAAATATAAAGTTGTCATGAACTCTAAATTCACAGAAAAATATGCAACATTTTTAAGAACTTTTCAATACTGAATGTGCAGTGTGGGGAGTAATTTTTCCAGTGCATGGCAAACTTTCCAGTATTCCTATGGAATACTACCAGCCATCTTGAACCTCCTTTAGCCTAAGTAGTCTGATCACAGAACAGCCCAGTTTTATAGATAGTGAATATCTTTCTGTGCAAGCATGGGAATGTCAACACATTTTCGAATGTTAGTAGTTCTTTATCATCAAGTCATCTCAGGGTAGATTGTGTTGAGCCTTGACAGACATATCTAACTCAAGGTACTCTGGGAAAGTGTCCAAGGAGGAGAGCCAAGGAATGGCATTTTCTTCCACCTACTGTACAAGATGGTCAAGAGCCCAGCACGGGACGCCTATCACACCTCAGTAGAGTTACACTGCCAGTTGCAGTGCATAAGGTGGTCCTCACCTACCACTTGCCCTACATTGAATGTAAACATCCCAGATTCTACATAACTTATTGCTACGCAGACCTATCAAATGAGAGTACACTGCATGTGTTTGTGCTAGAGCAATCCTCTATTATTGGAGGGTAAAATATTCCATACCCTCAGTATGAGAGGACAGTCAAAAATACACAGAACTTCAACAGAGTAAATGTAACTGCAACAGGACGTATCCAAGTCTGTAAACTTAATCCAAGTTTTGGACCAGAGAACGTAAAGTCTTTAAAGCATAGGATGCAACTTGTAGGGTGGCACATAGCATGCCGTGGAATGGCGACACAGTCTATTGTATTGCACTTTGTTTTTAAAGTCTGTATTCACAGTTTAGTCCACCGTCTCTACGGCACATGCGTCAGCAGGAAGAAGTCGCGGTGATTGGACTGAGTTTCAGTTGGTGTACAGGAGACCTGAGAGGAACGGGGGTCAAGACGGAAGTGGGGAACGTAAAACAAGACCCTCAAAGTGCTGGCCAATGTTCATGTCCTCGGCGAAGAAGGAAACAGAGTCCCTTTTGCAAGACATGACAGGGCCACTGGGTTTGGAAGAGAAGATTTCGGACTCATAGTGAAGGAGCTGGCCCATGAAACTGAAGTTGGGTGATATAAGGCTGCGGCGTTGTTTGATGTACTCAAAGGCCTCCTCCAGGCGGATCCGTTTGGTCTTCATGAGGTAGGCCATACATATGGTGGGCGACCTCGAGATGCCAGCCTCGCAATGAACTAGGACTTTTCCTCCAGAGTGTCTCACAGTATCTGCAAACAGATCAAAATTAAACATAAATAAAACTGTAGGAACACATCTGTGCAGAACAAAATACGGTGTCTCTAGTCCTATGCATGCATATGTGACGATGTCCAGGTGTATAAATGGTAGGAACAGAAAAGATTCAAAAATAAGCAAAACTATCCTGCTTAGAATATTGGTGGGTTCAGGGATGGTAGTAACCCCTATACCAGGGGCAGACTGACAACTCATGGGGCCCCCGGGCAATAAGGGATCATGGGGCCCCTGTGTCCTTGTCCAAACTCAAAAAAGCCTATGAAAAGGTACCAGGGGCATCTCATGGGGCCCCCTACTGACCCCGGGCCCTCAGGCAGTGCCTGAGTTTCCAAATGGTCAGTCCGCCCCTGCCCTATACATACATATATTGTATGACTGTCAGAGCCTGACTCTTCAAACAGTAAAGCCAAACTTCTTTGGGCCCAGGATGCAAAGATCCATGGCCTGCCACTACTTAAATGTTATACAGGTTCTTAACTCTGTGCATGTCTAGTGCAAGATGGCAGTCCATTAAAACCCATGGGGAAAGATTTACTAAAACCGGTGCACTCAATCTGTTGCAGTTGTGCATGTTAGCCAATCAGCTTCTAACTTCAGTTTGTTCAGCTTTGGCAATAAAACCTGGAAGCCGATTAGTTTCTTTGCAATGTTGCACCAGATTTGCACTCTAGTGTTTAGTAAATAACCGCCAAAGTTGTTCATCACAAAGAAGGCCATTTTTCTCAAATACCCCCTGGGCTTATAGCATGTGGTCATTAACATTCACATGGAATGTCAGATATTCCTAAAATTGCTTCAAAAACCATCTGTATGGATGTTGGTTGACCTCTACCAAGTTCATTTGTTGGTGTATATTAAACACACCCTTAGCACAAAATACAAATTTGGCCAATGAAAGTACCCATTGACCACTAGGCATTGAGAGGGGTCAGCAGTCACAAAACCATTAACCAGTTTTATTGGCAGTACAAGCTGTGTCCTTGTAGGAGACAAAACAGAAGTTACCTCCTACTGAAGACAAATTGGCCATGTTAGAGCAGCACCAGATCCTGTAATTACAAAGCCGTTCTGTTTATGTCAGTCTTTGAAGCATTCTCTAATGGCCTTAAATAGCCACAAAGACTTTAATAAATGGTTGGACTTTAAGGGACATGTTGTAAAAATGTCCCCCCCCCCCCCCCCCTTCTTCCTCCTCCACCCTATGTTTTGTGTTGCTATCCATTATGTCGTAAAACAAGAATTCTTCCCGTTTTTATGTGTAACCTGAAATGAACCTTAATCAGGTTTTTGCATATAATAATTGTTCTACAACTTGATAATCTGCATTGATTCCAAGTTTGCTAACCCTTTTATAATCCTTAGCACATGTGATGTATATTTTGATAACTTGGGTAGTATATTTAAAAAACATTTGAGATATTTTTGTGACATTTAACTACCAAACATTTATCGTATTAACTGAACTGCAACCGTTTCAAATTTCATACAGAACATAGAACTGCAAAAAGCACAGACTGATTTGCAGTGTAAGGAATTCATTTTCGTTTTGACTTTTATAAATCACAGGCTAGAATGACCCAACACTTGTTTATCTAAGCCAAGATCCAAAGCAAACAAATCTTTCAGGACCAATTCACACCGATTTGCGCTGAAAAGCATGTACCTTTCCATTAATTTTAGTCACCTAATGCACACTGACATAAATTTTGATGTCCATTGTGTCCTATTTTGCATTAAAATGCAAAATGTATGCAATTAGAAATTATTTTTTTCAGAGGTCACTGGTGTGAACTGGTCCTAAAGCCCAACTCTGGGAAAATAAAAAAAAATTGTTATAATTCATTAATAGCTCATTTTATGTCTAGAGGAGAGGTTTTTTTTTTAATCTCCCCATTCCCTCAGCAGGTGGTGCTCTCCCATAGTCTGGCAGGGAACAGTCCCTCGGCATCCTCATCCAGTGCAGGGCTATGGAACCGTCTATGGTCCTGTCAGGAACCTAGACCAGTGGGGGTGCAAATGCTGCGAGGAGGAGTGGAGAATTGGGTAAATCAATCTTTCACTGCTTCCCTAAACCTAAACGAGCAATTACGCTTGCAGTGCAGGCATAGCCCTACTGCAAGGAATATTTTTTTACTGGCTTGCAGCCGGGTTTTGAATACAATCAGGATGAATGGGATACCAGCATACCTTGAGGGCTAAAACGCCCCATGCAATTTAATGCAGTACATCACAATGCCACAATGCACAAGTGTTAACAGGCCCCCCAAAGTACTTTATGTAAGCAATGTAATTGAATTTGACTTAATATCAAACTTTTTGCAGTTTACTATACAGTCTGTATAGCAGGGCTCAGAAAGGGAAAACTGAAAGTGACATAAGAGGCCAATCAGTTCTGCTGCAGTGCATGAAGAACACTGAAAGAAGCAGCAGACTGTTCTCCTCTGTCACTCTGCTCTCACCCGGTCACTGGTCAATAGTAGGATGGGGGGGGAACGACAAAAAAAGGATTTTTTTTTTAGCCGTTTGCCTGGAGTACAAAATACGCTCCCAAAAAAATGGATGGGCTGAAGTTTTTACATACCAAGTAAAAATGAGAAAATCCATCATGCAGAGCATTTTAAATTTATTGAAAATAAAAATGTTGCAGTTTAACGCCAGCCTTGAACAGCTTCACTCACCTATAAAATCTATAGCCTCTTGGAAGTGGCTACTGATATCCGTGGTATGGTTGTCTTCCACGGGAATCCATTTGTAGTCATATTGGTCTTTGAGGCATCCAGTGCTCTTTCTGGAAACATTTAGTAAGGCAGTAATGCGAAGGCTGGAGAGGAATTCACACTTGGATGCATGGTAGGCGCTGCCAAGGTACAGGAATGGAAGGATCTCGACAGGATTGCCCTGAAAAAAAAGATGTACAAAATGGTAAGTTTCTACAGGAAAAAAGTGGATATTAAAAAAAAAAAAAATTTAGTACATCTCTGCAATACATGCACATACCCCACCCCCTGGCATTCTTCTAAAAAACACTGCAAGTAAAACAAGAACAACCAAAACAAAACAAAAAGGAAACAAAAAACCCCAAAAGACAAACCAAAACAAAAAAAGAAAAAAAAAAAATTTTTACTCAAATCCAGTGAGCTCTCAACTTCTTGTAGGAAGCAAACACTGCCACACTAAAATTCCAAACAGTGCTGTCAACCCTGCCCAGTTCCACTAACTGAACTACAGAGCACCTTCCTCTTATGTTGTGGACAGGGGAAGTTGCCCACACTGAAATCCATGCAGTGAAGGAAGTTTGCTGAAGAAAGTTAGCATCTGAGGAAGGCTCTGATTTGTTGCAGCTTCTAATGCACATTGTGAGAAGCTCACAGTGTGCAGTGAAATCAGAGTAAGCCATTTCAGTCCAGGACAGAAGTCTGTGCAAGACTGAAGCCATGTCTGGAGTTCAACTTGAAACAAAACACAAACTAGTTTATATTGGACCTTGCAGCTGTTCTAGGTCAGGAGCTATATCTGTAGAATGTTTCATTACGCTCACGCACGCATTTGTTGTTTTATTATACATACAGAACTTCCACAAAACCCACTAATATTGACTGTTGGGCGACTACAATAGCAAAGTGGGTTCTTCAAGACTATGCGTAATATTCATGATGAAACAGCGGTGATCTAAAAATGGAATGTTGAGTTACATTTGTGATCTTTGGCTTTGTACCCTGGAATTAGAAGCCAGTGAATAACATTAAGCCCACACACCTCCTGCTGGCTGGCCCACATAGAGGAGGAAAGAGGCACTGAAAACACCATCGTTTCCTACCCCAGGACCCCGACCTCAGGTAAGCACAGAATCTTCCAGCATAACCCAGATCAGGCAAAGTGCTCATACAAAGCTCCCCTCAGTTAATCTCAAAATCAGTGCTTTTAAACAGGCAGGATGCGCACTTGACTTTGTAACCTCTTGTGGGATACAACAAGATGGAGCTGTCCGTTAACCTAATCCTTTAAGCCTTCTCAAGAATATGCCGTCTCAGTCTTAGCTGTGCAGCTGGCATGAGGTGGCTGTGTCACGAGTGATATCAACCAACATTAGCGCAATGATTTGATTATTATCTAAAATAACCAAAAAAAACTAAGTATTGCCGCTGCAAGATATCAATTTTCAAAAAATTTTTTTTAAAAATGCTAAAGGTCAGGTTGGTTGCGCTTGATAGTGTCAGGCATGGTGGTGAATACATTTTACTAAAATTAAAGAGTGACTACTTTCACGGAGAAAGAAAGAAAAACAACAAAAAAAAAACCAAAACTTCAACTAGAACTATAAGCAAAAAACTCATTTTGGATAGAGAAGGGGGGTTATAACCCCGGTTAGATTTTTTTTGCCATCTGTGTCCCATTGGGGAGATTTCCCTTCACTTTCTGTCCCATAGATTGTAAGCACTCAGGAGCAGGGCCCTCCAAACCCTCTTGTATTGTTGCTGTCTTGTCTCCCTTTTATATGGTATAAAGCAAACTGTTGGCACTATATAAATCCTGTATAATAATATAATAACCAAACAGGAAGTGAGAAAATCCCTTATATTAAATTAAGGCAATTCTTTGGGGACCCCCCAGGTCACCAGAACTAGTGTCCCTATTGGAAGATTTTCTCCCCCATTAGATTTCTAGGGACAACCCAAAATTTGGGATTTTTCTTTAACTTTCAATGATCATGGTAAACAAGACAGAGGGGGAATCTCCGTATCAGGGGCACAGACAGCATTAAGATTGACAGGAGTTCCAATCCCTCTCCACTATCAAAAACTAAAAAAAAAAAAAAAAAAAAAAAAAAAATTTTGCTTTTAGTTAGACTTTAAATATATAGCATATAATTGCGACACAACTCATTGTAATTGAAGATTTGTTTTAAATGACCTTTCCTTTTCAATCTTCAACACTTAATTTTCTGCAATATGGCAACCTGGCATTCTATATACAGCTAGCATTTTTTGCACTTGCGTTTTTGCCGCATTTTGCATGGTGTTATTCATTTTTAAAACATTTTGTTGTTGCTAGATACCTTTAAACGCAAAACTCATCAAAAAAGGCAGAAAAACCATATAAAAAATGCAATACATGCTTTCTGCAGAGTTTCCACTGAAGTCTATAGAACCAAAAATGCAATGTTTTGCATTAAAAAGTCTGACCCTTTCCAAAAAAAAAAAAAAAATGAATCTGGTGAAAAACGCACAGATGTTAACCTGTCCCATAGGAAATGTTAAATGGACTGTACTGGGTTTCTGCAAAACGCTGCAGAAAACTGCATAGGTGTAACCCTGCGGTAAAGGGATGCAGACCCAGCCAGTTTCCTCATTAGAACCCTGAAACTGCAATAGCTGATTGAGAATTCTAAAGTCACTCCAATTCACATTCATTATGCACATGGACACAGGCAAACTGCTATTTTTTCAGAACAAAAAAAAAAAAAAAAAAAAAAAAAAAAAAAAAGAAAAGTGTAGGAATCTGCATCAAAGTTTGTTAAAAACCTTGAAATATAAGGCAAGAAAAACTGCACTGCATTCCAGGGGCCCATTCACCTTATTTTGCATGTTAACATGCATTTCCATCATCAGAAAAAGCACATCCATTGGAAGATTTCCTCTCTATCCTTGTTTTAGTGAAAAGTATAAAAAAGTTTGGAATTTGCATTACTTTTAGTCCCAAAGAGGTCAAAAAGGGAGAATCTCCTCAGCTGGGGCACACAGGTTCCAACTCTTCTCCACTTTATCCAACGCTACAGTTTTTGCAGTAGATACACAGTAATAAGACCAGTGCAGGTTAATACATTGCTTGAACTGGGTGGTATAAAATATGGTGCAATTTTCTTTAACACAAAGTCATACAGCGTGCTTCGCCTTTATTTAGCATATAATCTTAAAAATGGCTTGTGCTTAAATTAAAAAATTGCAAAAGATTGTTGCAATGTGATTCACTACAACAAATGGTTTGGTATTACCTGCCATACAACACAGTACCCACAGGTGCCATAGCATTTGATTTTTCCTCCCCCTCCTTGTGTCACGTTTATGAACATTTACTTTTAATATCTTGCAGTGATGTACAAAATGAGAAAAGCCATGCTGGGCTAATGCATGGCTTGCCATCCATCATATTAAACTGTCATGGCTGCACTTGAGTTTCCCATTACACATCCGCTACCAAGACAATCTCGCCATCAATAATTAAGTGGAAAGAGGATACGGAAGGAAGGTGCCTGGGTAATTATAGCGCCATAACATATACGGATCTATAGGGGACAGGAGATGAGTCAAAGGCTATTTTCTGCTTTTAGCCATCTCCCGCGGCAAGCTCCAGCACAGCGCATTCCAAACAGGAAGCAATAATATCTCTATTGATCTCCGGAAGCGAGGCCTTTCACAAGCCCATATCCCGCTAATGGACCGAAGCTTAACGGACGGAAAGGCGTTTGTACAAAAGCTTAACCCTTGCAGGGCTTGCTCCTTTGCAACAGTTTGAGGATTTTCCTTTACAAAGCTATCTTTCTGCCCTTCTGTGTACTGACATGAACTGAGAAGCAATGACTTCTGAACTACTTATTTGCAGAAACTATTTAACCACAACTGGTATTTCAGTTTTTTGTGGCTGCTGATGATCAATACTCATCCACCCACCCACCCTGAGCACAGCCCATTAAACTCAAAATACTTACACTTCCCTCCTCAATCCAACCATCTTTGCTGCATCGACCTGCCCAGCTCACAAAAGCCCTTCCAGTGAAACATCCTCTAATGCACATACATGCCACAGCCCCATTAATTTCAATGGCTCTGCTGGATCACTGGAGGCCACTATAAGTAGGACTTGGCCATAACAAATAAGGTGGTGGCCCACATTTCAAAATAAAGAAAAAAAAAGACCTGGCAGGGACATTTTTAAAAGGTTGTGTGGCATCTGGTATAGAGATGGATTGACTGAGGAAGGTAAGTATTTTAGTGGGCAGACTGTTCTCAGTAGGTAGGTAGAATTTATTAAAGTACAATTTTACAATGCGTAAAGCCCAAGTTTTTTTTCCCCCCAGTAAAATTGGGCTTTACTCATTGTAAAATTGTACTTTAATTCTACCTACCCCCTGAGAACAGTCTGCCCACTAAAATACTTGCCTTCCTCAGTCAGTCAATCCATCTCTATGCCAGATGCCACACAGCCTTTTAAAAATGACCCTGCCAGGTCTTTTTTCCCCCCAGTAAAATCAGCCAAAGGGACATTACTTTCCTTTAGTGAGGTGTATCCCTTGTGCTACAGTATCCTACTTTCGCCAAGTCTTTTACCTTCAAAGCCCCCCACCCGGTGGGGGAAATTAGAACCAAGGGACCAGTAAAGGCCCTTATCAAGAGTGCCCAATTATGCGCGCCCTTTCTGCCCAGCTGCTCCATTCATAAGAGCAGTTGCTACAACTTTTGTAAATTAAACAGAACCTATGATAGGAGGATGAGCAGATGATTGATAGGTCCCCCCCCCCCTCCATTCATAGATCCGGTTTCATCCATGGAAGCTGCACTAATGGCTTCTATGAATTGAGAAGCAGGGCAGAAACAGACAGCCTGTTACAGTTCCTTAGTTCTATTAACCTCCACCATACCAAAGACTGCAGCAGCACATGGGACACCTCACTAGAGGCAAGTAATGTCCCCTGTGCTTACTTATTATTTGGGTAAACTTGGATTTTACATTTTCCACACATCTGTGCTTGTATTTAGAATTATGGATGGATTTCTGATGGAGTAAGGACATGCACTGATTTACTGAGTATGCATAGCCAAAACCTTCAGTGTGCACATGTTCCTGTCTGATCAGGGAATTCCTTGCACCTTGTTGGAACCTGTTCTCTTCCTCCTAAATCTCTGGGACAAAAGTGAAGACTTTCAACCCTCTCCCAATCAAAGATTAACAAAGGACCATTTCTAACAGTTTAGAAACACCTGCTATGTGTGGACATTAGAGAGCTGGCAGTTTGTCAAGATTCCACCTTCTATAGAAAATTGTTGGGATTATCTGTGCATGTTGTGAACCTTGAAGGTGAATTTCTCCACAATGCATATAGCTGCAGCAATAAATGAGTCATTATTTAAAAGTGCTTCTACTAGTTTAGAATATGTACTTTATGTGTGCAAAGTCTGGGCACAGGTTCACTTTAAGAAAGCAGGAATATTACAGATTGCCAGAAACATACAATAAGCACAAAAGGGAGAAGAGAGGTCAATGAACAGTCTTCTGTACCTGATCGTATGATGGCTTGTGGAAGGAGGAGAGCTTCTCGCAAAGGTGGTTCTGACTGATGTCATTTTCTTCCTGCGACAAACTCTTTTGATCCACACAGCATTCTGGGTACTCTGTGCGAAAGGATTCATATCCACCTGCAAGAAAGAACAAAAATTGTTACAAACAAAAAAAAAAAAAAAAAAAAAAAAGATCATTTTAAAAAAAGATCATTTTAAACAAGAACAATGCATCTAAATGCGGGCTATCTGGGTGAGAAGCCTTCAGTCGAGGACCCGCAGCCATTTTTTTGGTCCAGGACAATAGATCCGGCTTTACTGCTCTCAAGCACTTCTATCCGAGGCTTCTCACAAAAGGAGCCTTCCTTTTTGACAGAATCTTTAAAGGAAACTAAGGAATTTCCTCTCTTTTCCAGCCCAAATTTGCACATTACCATCAGAAACAAGAGAAACTATGACTGAATGACAACTCAGTATATTAGGGGCCAGTTCCCCCAAAAATGACATTTGTTTTTGGAAGAGGCCCCCTGTGGAAGAGGGAAAAACAAAAAAACAAAAAACCACAACTGCCATTGCCAACCTCCCTAAAATGCGTTATGGTGGTCTTGCTGATCATTGGATTTCAATATTTTGACTCTTAAAATCTGCCCCAAAATCAAATATTTCCAAGAAGGAAAGTTTTTTTTTTTTTTTTTTTGTTTCCCCCAAAAGAGACTTCATAATGATTTAAATATATGGCTACAGAGCCACAAGTATTGAAATGAGGCATTTTAACCCAACTCTAAATTCACTGCTTGTTCAAAGGTGAAGTCCCAGAATATATTAAATCCAAATACAGCAAGGCAACTAACATTTTCATGCAGAGTCCAGTCATTGCACCTCATGCATGTTCTTTGCAGAAAACCCGATGGGAATACAATCACAAGGGTACAGAAACCAGGATTATTAATAGACTGTTCAGATATTTCCCAGCACACCAGGCATTTTCTGTAGGATCTGTTAATCAGGAGCATTGTTCCAGTGCTTGATCAGCAATCATGTTAATATTGCTCAGCGTCCAAGCTAGACCTCAGTAATTTCCTTTCCAAATACCAGCCAACACTTATTTTTTTAGTGGCTTCTCACACAGTTTTCACCTAAGATTCACACATTTTTTGTAATTGTAATCAATTGGGAAATGTGTGAATCCTGGAAGAAACTTCCTTGGAAAATTTTTTAATTGATAGGTATTTATACAGTGCCATCAATTTACGCTGCTCCTTACATACTATACATTCGCATAGGTGATTTATAAGTGATCTATAACTAATAAGACAAGATTTGCTGTGCAACATTCTGGAAAACAAAAAAGGGACTCTTTAAAATTGCCACTTTCATAAATCAAGCAATACCTGCCAAAATTACAGACAAATCCCTGACCTCCCAATGTACCCACACCCTGTTCCCAAAGAAAGGGACAAGGACAGTTATATAACACTTATTTCATATACATGGGTTTATTATTAGTACATCAAACTGATAATAAGATCAAGCTGTTTACAGAATGCAGGGTGATCATCATCTAGGTGGTGACACATCAGTGTGATGTGATCACTTCCTGTGTGATGCTAATTGCCACCATAGCAGGCTGTTCCAGACTGTCCCATCTGCCCTGCCTTAATCCCAGCTCATGGGATAAAGGACCTGCAGGGAGTCAATAGGAGGCGATTAGCAATTTTGCCTCTTGTGCTGGGGGTGGCAGGAAGGTAACCCAGGACAAGGGGAGGAGATCTGACAGTGATGATTGCAATTCACTGAATTGGGAACATCAATGGACAAGCCTTTCATTCAATTAGATGGTTACAGTACAGCCACTAATAAAGGGATCACTATAGACAGAAACAAATGTTACATTATACACATTAGGGAAAACAACTAAAAACAGTGTACAATCCACACCTCCACCTCCCCCCCTCACACCTGTCCAGCAATTAAGATATTTTACATTTTTGTGGTGTTGCCATTTAAAGGCAAAAGGAAGCAGCAATATTAGTTCTAGCATCTACTAGGAGCTGACTATTGAGGGCACACAATCTGGTCACCGCTGACCTTTCCCAAGGAAGATCACTGTGTGAATGTGTAAGCTTTGGCCAATGGAGAAGGAAGAGTATGTGTATCAGTAACTGAATGACAGATTGCTTTTGAGTGAAAGCCACCATGGCTGGCAAAATCCATCCTGGAAACAGACTGTGCCCCAGTCAGATTACACCAGGAAGGGCCCACGGACATGTGACCATAATTGGGCAAACATCAGATCTGCAGGCACCAAATATATCAGTACCCCATGGTACCCTTTTATTAACACCCCCCCCCCCCCCATTAAGCCACAAATGGTATTAAACTCCCTAAAGAAATCAGTTGAGGAAAATCAGTGTTGCATACACCAGTCAAAGCCCCTCCAATTGCAAGGATTATGAGCAGATAGGAAGTCTCTCTGCCAATCCAGAGTACTTGTTAGGGCACACAAGCATCTTGACACTTGTTGGAAAGCCTGTTAAGGTACCCATAGACATGATCTGACAGATGCCCAATTTGGTCATCTCAAAATCTATAGGCACATCTTCTGCTCTAATCAGGAAAGCCCAGGCTACACTATTCTTAAAGCAAAACTCCAGCCAAATACAAAATAAAGAAGGATAGCCAATTTAAAGATCAACAAGAAGCTTTTGCTGCAACAATTAATTTGAATCCAGAATTTCCCCCTCCAGTTTCTTTTCTGCCACAAAATGCCCTTAGCCTGAGATCCAACTTCATTTAAAACCGCTTCCTCTGAGCCCAGGTCACCTGGACCAACCCCAGTCTAACTGTACAGTGAAAGGAATAGCAGCACAGTGATAATCACTCTGCTTTCTCCTCCTGTCAGTATTCTTGTCAGCGCATGAACTCAATGGTATTGATTTATTAGGCTCCATGCACACTGGGTGTTTAACGCTGGTAACGTTACCGATGTAAAGTCACGTTAAATAATAAAACGAGTTTTTCAGCATTTTTTGCGGTTTTCCATTAGCATTTAGTGGAGTTTTTTCGACCAAAAAAATATTAGATTTTTGCTCAAAAAAAGTCCAAAAATGCCAGATTTCCACGATTTACCGCATTTTTCAGCATTCGAGCTTTTTTTACAGCTAAAAAAACTCCTCTAGAAACCCACTAGTTCTGGAGGGTTTTTCCAGCCACAAAATGCTGATTACAGTCTATGTGTGCATAGACACATAGGACAACATGCTGGGGAGTTTACTGGCTGTAGAAAAAAAACAAAACAAAAAAAAAAACCCTCAAAAGCCAAAAACAGCCACTGTAAAAACATCCAGTGTGCATGTGGACTTAAGCCTGGGTTCACATCCATGCGAATCTGTATATCGCATGTAATTCACACAGAAACCACACCACATTCCTGTGCAAATCACATGCGATTTGTGTGTGGTGCGATCAGAGCCGTACATTTTGTATGGCTCTATTCGCACCACACCAAAAAAAGCACAGGACCCTTTTTTGGGTCTGCACTAGAACCAGATTGCACAGGTATTCACACCTATGCAATCCGATTCTGCATCGCACCGCGTTATGTGGACTGCTTTAGGGGTGTTGGACTTAACATACACACCCGCAGCGGTTTCGCATGAACAGGGTGCGATTCTGATGCGGAATTCACACTGAAAACACTGCAAATTCCACACCGCATCAGTATGAACCAGGGCTAAAAGGAAAATAGACTGTGCAGTTGCTCCAGAGCTTAGTAAATGAGGGGAAGCTCTGCTGATTTCCATCATCCAATCATGTGCAAGCGGTTTATTTTCCTTGCATGTGTTTGGGTATTCTTTGCAATGTGAAGCTTCACCTCATTTACCAACTCTGGAGCAAATGCCTCTGCAGAGTACAACCGCACAGTCTATTTGCTTTTAGTAAATCAACCCTCTTGGTTCATTGTGCTGCTTTATCCTCCCACTCTCCAGCTCAGCTGTACAGGGACTACAAGAGGCTGATTTTAGGTCAAATTCAGGAACGTCAGAAACTGCGTGCGTTATAATAGAACAGTTAATGATGTATGAATGATCCTAGAGATGTATGCATTTTTGGCCTAGAAGTCAGCTCTAAAGGCTCCTTCACATCACAGAGCTCATATCGACAACACAATGTATGTATGTTGGGGTCAGGGACGGACTGACAACTCATGGGGCCCCCCGGGCAATAGGGGATCATGGGGCCCCTGTGTCCTTGCCCAAACTCAAAAAAGCCTATGGAAAAAGGTATCAGGGGCATCTCATGGGGCCCCCTACTGACCCCCGGCCCTCGGGCAGTGCCCGATTTCCAAATGGTCAGTCCGCCCCTGGTTGGGGTGCAGTTATTTCATGTTAAAAAAGGACTGTACCTTCAAATTTTAACATATGTAGGGCCACACTAATGGTTTTATTTTGAGTGCCCATCCAGATGCCCCCTAGTGTCTGGATCAATCAGACAAAATACATTAGATAACTCACTAGTAATCCACTAAATAAAACAGATCCAGATCAGTAGCCAAGTGCCAGATAAGCCCAGGAGACAGCTCAATCAGCCAGACCACTTCCCCAGCCTTATCACTGTGCTGCTGGGCAATTTACATAACACCTCTGCTATTTGCATCCTAGATGTGACAAACTGCAAGGACAACTACAGATCCCCCCCCCCCCCCCCCTCCTGACCTGCCACTAACCTCATCCTAACAAGCCATATCCTAGCAAGGGAAGCTGCCTCCCCCCAGGGGGTGATGACTTTACAACCCATTAACAAGCTGCAGATTATTGCACCCATTGTAGGTACAGCTGAGATCCACATCCTACTGTGTGCCATTAACCCCTTAGAGCAGAGGGACTGTGATGATTGAATTAAATGGATTCTTCCTGCAGCTGATGAGACAACTATTTATGACACTTCCTGCCGAAAACCAACACTCCGCTTTTGACACAAATGTTCCAACAGATTTTTTTTTTCTTTTTTTTTTTTTCCATTTATTAATTTCGGTTACAATCACCGGTTCAGCCCTTGCCTCATTTATTTCAATCTTTTTTCTCTTTTGGTATTAAATAAATCTGTTGCCACATCATACAAATGCAAAGAAATATTGTAGGACAAGAATGCAGTAGGAGCATGCTAAATCATAAAGATAGGTTCTATAGGTCCTTTGGATTGTAAGGTTGCACAAGCAGGGCCACTCTAAGCCAAATATCTTGATGAGTTCTCTAATACAAGTGTAAAAAAAAAAAAAAAAAAAAAAAAAGAGGGGACCAATATTCTATTTGATTAGAAGATGGGCAAAATGCAATAAAAACATGTATGCATGGCTAAAAATTACTTTATGCCCAATTTTTCTGGGGGCTTGCTGGCAAATATGATCACTTTTGATTGCTTGGAAATTATTTGAGACAATCAATGAAACACAAATGAATTCTGCCTCCAAACACGTTTTATGCAGATTTTTCTTCAAGCAATTGGCCAATTCATGCATGAATTCCTTCAGGCTTACCACTTGTTACAATGTGATTGTAGAAACTATGTACAATCGCCTTCAGATTTAACAAACTATGTAACATGAGAACCTACCTTAAAAAAAAAAAAAAAAAAAAAAAAAAACGACCTTTCCCCTAAAATACTTGAATCCTTGAAATCTTATACATTGCAGGATCAGGGGTCAACCGTTTCCTCTCCACAATATCAGTTTCAGAATTCTGGAAATCAAATGACAGGATTCTAAAACCGCAATATGGCGAAGTTGACACCTCATTCATCTATAGGGGACACCCCCTGCTGAGAATTCATAACCAAAGCCACAATCACAATTTATCTGCAAACTACAACCACACATCAACGCCTTTAACATTACTAACATCCCCAAACGAACATGAAAAATTCTGACAAATAGCACCACTTCTACAACTGGACCCTATATGGTAAAGCTAGACTTTCCAAATGAATGGCATCAGCAATTCTGATAACAAATCATTTACCAGTAATAAATAAGGCAAGACTCATAAGACAGTGTATATATATATATATATATATATATATATATATATATATATATATATATATATATCTCCGTATATATCAAAAAGGAAAATACAATGTAGACAGATCTGTATGACTAGAGATCCAGCAAGGATCTCATGAGAAGTGAGCTGAAGTGTGTACTACAATAGAAAACACTTCACTCCAGCCACCACTAGAACATCTAAATCAATAAAAAGGATAGAAGTAGTCTAAAGTCAGGTTACAAAAAAGTACAGAACGTTAAATGATAACTATTACCTGTACGAGACAACACAGTCATATCCAACATGAATGACCTTGAATACTGATATACATCTACATATATGGGATATAGTCATCTCTATAACAAGCCAGCAATCAAAACAACCATACAGCACATAATGGATATAGTCATGTATAAACACAATGTAGCTATTTTCAGCCCAAATATTACATTTAAAGATTTTTTTTTTCCCTGCTGGTGTTCCAGGTGGAGGAAATGAGTCATGCCTGATACAAATACATATACTCCAATGTAGCAGATACAGGAAGGGTTTGTCAGCAGGCTGTATTCCCCTAGCTAAATACATTTTTCATTTCAATACACACATACATTCACACACATTGATTAGAAGTCATCCCCTGAAAAGCAGCTCCCCTTCATCCCCAAGAAGGGCACTCATCCTCCAGGAGCGGAAATCCTCCACACATTCCCTTCTATACAGGGCTTACACCAGCAGACAGATACCCTCCATCTTTCCCACAGAACACTCAGCTGGAGATCAGTCTCCATTCCCCTACAGGCATCAGATCCCCTCCATGCTTCCTATAGGAACCAGATACTCTTCTACCCCCCCCCCCCCCCCCAATAGGCACAAGATTCCCTCATTAAAGCATCAGATCATCACCATCCTCCTATAGACATCAAATCACCTGCATCCCCTCTTTAGGTATCCCCCCTCTCCCCCAATAAACATCAGGATGCTTCATCCCCCTATAGGCATCAGATCCCTTATAGGAAGTAGAGCCCCCGAGCCTCCCATAAGTACCAGACAACCCATAGGTGTGGTATCCCCCCCCCCCAACCATAGGTAGTAGATCCCCTATAAGCATCACATCCCCTTAATCCTATATAGGTATTAAATGCCCCCCATAGGTAGCAGAACCCCTTCAGGCATCAGATCAACCCCATCCCACCTATAGGTATCAGATCCCCCCCACCAATAAGTAGTTGATCCCCACCATTCCCCCTATAGGATATAGATCCCCCTGTAAGGCATCATATTCAACCCCTCACAGGCAGCAGTTTACCTCCACCCCCCTTCCCCATAGGTAGTAGATGCCCTCCATCTTATAGGCAGTAACCCCCCTGTAGGTATCAGACCCCCCCCCCCCCTAAGTAGTAGATCACCTCCATCCCCCTATAGGAAGCAGACCCCCGTTGGTATCAGCCCCCCCAAGTAGCAGATCACCTCCACTCCCACTATAGGTAGTAGACCCCCCCTGTAGTTATCAGATCACCTCCGCCCCCCTATAGGTATCAGCCCCCCCTGTAGTTATCAGCCCCCCTATAATTAGCAGATCACCTCCACCCTCCCCCCCATAATTAGTAGATGACCTCCACTCCCCCATAGGTAGTAGACCCCCCCTGTAGGTAGCCCCCCATAATTAGCAGATCACCTCCACCTCCCCCCCTGTAGGTAGCAGATCACCTCCACCTCCCCCCCTGTAGGTAGCAGATCACCTCCACCCCCCCCCCCCTATAGGTAGTAGATGCCCTCTATTTCATAGGTAGTAGACCCCCCCCCCGTAGGTATCAGACCCCCCCATAAGTGACAGATCACCTCCACCCCCCTATAGGTAGTAGATGCCCTCTATTTCATAGGTAGTAGACCCCCCTGTAGGTATCAGCCCCCCCCCCCCCCATAATTATCAGATTACCTCCACTCCTCTATAGGTAGTAGACCCCCCTGTATGGATCAGATCCCCCCCATGCCGAGGCTCGGTCCCCCCACTCACCCTTCAGGAAGCAGATACGTGGCGCCCCCGGCAGGCTGCTGAGGGTGGCGATGACGATGTGAGCCGGGCTCTCCTTCTTCAGCTTCTGCCACCTCTGGCTCCCCTCATCCAGGACCACCACCACCGACACTTGTCCGTCCCGGAGCCGGCAGCGGGCTCCCTCCTCGGGCACCACGAAGTGTAGCGGAGCGGCTCCCCCCCGAGCCCGGCGCAGCAGCACGGAGTTCAGGTTGACGTTGATGGATCCCCGCACACTGGAGGCGCTGAAAGGCAGATAAGGGCGGCAGTCCAGTACCAGGCATCGGGACAACTCCTTCCTGATCAGCCGGTGCAGCCGCCGGCTCTCTATGGAGGTCACCTTCATGTCTGCTCCGCCGCTGCAGCTTCTCAGGCTCTTTAAATGACACTTCCGCTCCGGGGGATCCCGCGGACGTCGCTTATATCTCATCGGGCCGCCCGCCCGTGACGTCACTGCCCATATATGGAGAGTGAGGTCTCCATTCATAGAGTGGTGTGTGACTCCGCCTCCCTCTTGGAAGAGTTCCCCCGCTAGAGGGAGGTGTGAGCCGGGATCCGTCTATGTAAGCAGAGCGCTGCGCTGATCCGAGGAAAGAGCACCGGTCTACGTTCAGTCTGCCAGTGATTGGACATCGGGCGGACTGACCATTTGGAAACTCGGGCACTGCCCGAGGGCCCGGGGTCAGTAGGGGGCCCCATGAGATGCCCCTGGTACCTTTTTCCTAGGCTTTTTGAGTTTGGCAAGGACACAGGGGCCCCATGATCCCCTATTGCCTGGGGGCCCATGAGTTGTCAGTCCGCCCCTGTTGGACTTACTCCATAGTCCAGGGGTGGACTGACCATTTGGAAACTCGGGCACTGCCCGAGGGCCAAGGGTCAGTAGGGGGCCCCATGAGATGCCCCTGGTACCTTTTTCATAGGCTTTTTTGAGTTTGGGCAAGGACACGGGCCCCATGATCCCCTATTGCCCGGGGGCCCCATAAGTTGTCAGTCCGCCCCTGCTCCATATTCCAGGGGCGGACTGACCATTTGGAAACTCGGGCCTGGGGTCAGTAGGGGGCCCCATGAGATGCCCCTGGTACCTCTTTCATAGGCTTTTTTAAGTTTGGGCAAGGACACAGGGGCCCCATGATCCCCTATTGCCCGGGGGCCCCATGAGTTGTTAGTCCGCCCATGCTCCATACAATCTGATTGTACAATCTCTACACAATCTACTTTAGGGCTCGTTTACACCACAATGCCCGCAGTCACTGTGCATTTGCCTAAATGCATTTGTCGCACATTTTCAGTGTGTTTTATTAAAAATAATTTTTGCAAATTTTTTTTAGTAAGTTGCATTTACATGCATTTGCGTACATTTATGCACATTTATTGTGCATTCCAGTGTAGAAAAATGCAGCATACTGTATTTTTTAAACGCTCATGAAAGCACTGCAAAAACTAGGCTCATTGGAATACATTCCTTTTTCTTGCCTATGTGTTCGTTCTGCATTTATGCTGTGTTAAAAAATGCATCTGATTGCCTCAGGGCTCAATGACACCACAATCTCTGCATTCACACTGTGTGTTTGTTTCTGCCTTGCCTTTGTGTGTGTTTTCAATGATTTTTCAGCATTTAAAGAGTGTTTTTTTAGAATAATTTTGCATTTATTTCAATTTATTTTCTTTATTATTTATTTATTCCAGGTACTTATATAACGCTGTTTAATTTATGCAGCACTTTACATATACATTGCAGATTCACACCAGTCCCTAACCCTCAAGGGGCGTACAATCTAAGGTCCCTAACCAGGGGCGGACTGACAACTCATGGGGCCTCTGGGAAAAAGAGGATCATGGGGCCCCTGTGTCCTTGCCCAAACTCAAAAAAGCCATGAAAAAGGTACAAGGGGCATCTCATGGGGCCTCCTACTGACCCCGGGACCTGGGGCAGTGCTCGAGTTTCCAAATGGTCAGTCTGCCCCTGTCCCTAACTTACATTCATACATACACGTACTAGGGCCAATTTAGACAGGATCTGATTGACCTACCAGCATGTCTTTTAGAGTGTGGGAGGAAACCCACGCAGGCACAGGGAGAACATGCAAACTCCAGGCAGGTGGTGTTGTGGTTGGTATTTGAACCGACAACCCTAGTACTGGCAGGCGGAATTTAGCCACTGTGCTGCCCTATTTACTAAGTTGTATTTACATGTGTTTTCATGTGCATTTTCGGTGTATTCCAGTGCAGAAAAATGCAGCATGCTGTTTTTCTTTTTAAGTGCACATGAAAGCACTACAGAGATGTAAACTAGAGTCTTTGTAATAAATTCATTTTTCTTGCTGTGTTTTTGCTGTGTTTAAAAATGCAACCAACTTTATATGGTGTAAATGAGCCTTTAGCCCGGGTTCACATATATGCAGTGAGGTATATCACATGTGATTCGCACATTAAGCGCACTGCATTCCTGTGCAAATCACATGTGATTTGTATGCGGTGCGATTGGAGCTGTACATTTTTGTACGGCTCTAATTGCACCGCACCCGTGCCATAGAGTGCAGGACCCTTTTTTTTGGTCTGCGCTAGAATCAGATCTCATGGGTATTCACACCTATGCGATCCGATTCTGCACATCGCACCGCATTTTGCAGACCACTTTCCGGGTGTTGTTAACATACACACCCGCAGCGGTTCGCATGAATGGGGTGTGATTCTGATGCAGTGTGGAATTCGCACGGAAAACGCTGTGAATTCCGAACCGCATCAGTGTGAACCAGGGCTTAGGGCTCATTTACACCACAAGCTCAGCATTCACTGTGCATCCAGCAAACACACGATTGCTCACGTCCAGGGCTGCTGTTAGAAACCACAGGGCCCCATACAGCCAACCTGAAAGCCCCCCCCCCCCCCAAAAAAAGGAAAAGTTTTGAATGAACACAGTAAGTCATCAATACCGATCACTCATTGTGTTCATGTAGGTAAGGAATGGGTTGGTAAATGTGACATATTTACTGTACCCCTCCCCCGTTCCCATCCTGAGAGATCCTATTGTGTGCTTGCAGTTGCTGGTGGAAAGGAGAGGAGGGAAGCCGGTAGCACTGTGGGGTTGGGGGCACACAGGGGGGCCTGGGCAGTAGGGGGAAATGTATGGTGCACAGGGAGGGTAATAGTTGCAGTGGAGGGGGGCAATTACTGTAATCGATCCCCTGTATGGTTCTCTCTGCTTCAGCTGAAAGCCAGAGGGAGGAAGAGGAGAAGAAGCCAGCTTTCAGCTGCTGCAGAGAGAGCCATACAGGGGATCGGTTCCAGTAATTGTCCCCCCCAGCTGTGCCGATCACCATCTCTGCCCACATCCAATTCACCCTTCTGCCTCTGCACCTCTGTTGGCCTGGGCCCCCATACAGAAGGACTGGTGGTACCCCCTTATCCACGGCCCTGGTCACATCCACCAAGAACCATGGTACCAGGGGTGGACTGACAACTCATGGACCCCCGGGCAACAGGGGATCATAGGGCCCCTGTGTCCTTGCCCAAACTCAAAAAAGCCTATGAAAAAGGTAGCAGGGGCATCTCATAGGGCCCCCTACTGACCCCGGGCCCTCGGGCAGTGCCCGAGTTTCCAAATGGTCAGTCTGCCCCTGCATGGTACCGTAGTGCCATGCATTTTGGTGCGGGAGATTTGGGAAATCCAAACATCCTGAGTTCCAGTGGCAAGAGAGTGAACTGTCACCAGCCCTTACTGTGCGTCTCCGTGAAAGATGTGCTCATGGGAAACTTCAGCTAAACCATAGTAAGCAAGATGATTCTTTCTAAATTCTCCACTAAAAATGCCAGATTGGTAAATTGGTTAGACAATTGTTGTTGTCACCCCAAAAATAAGGCCAACGCCATGAGCGCCTGTGCGGAGCGCACACTTTTGGCCGCAATGAGTGATGGAAGCACGGCTGAGTCCTCCAGCCATGGGGTAGTATTGCCTGATCTTCCCATCCTTCTGATGACTGCTGTAATGTGTCAACTTATCCTTCAGGCTATCTGTGTGACCTCTCTGTTCAAAGCCATTGGGTTTGATGTTTTGTGTCTGTAGTTCTGTGTATCTGCCGCCCATCTGTCATCTGTCTGTCAGCTGTCACTCTTGTCTCATGGAGCCTCAATCAGCAGCACTTAAACTTTCCATGTATGAAGGCTCGCTATCCTTCCTGTATACACCATCAGCCCCTGGAAAGATCGTATTTTCTCCATGAATGCTTATCCACTGGGCAGCCAGTCTCCTTATGGGCAGCGAGGGTGCCTAGTTCCTGTGCAAGATGTCGTCTTCTCCACCCTCTTACTGCCATCACACATAGGCTTGCTTTGCATTTGTGTGTTGCTGTGATGCATGGCAAAGCGCACATTTTATTGCACCAAACTACTGTATGAGCATTGTGTTACAGTGCCCAGGGGCGGACTGACCATTTGGAAACTCGCCCAAGGGCCTGGGGTAAGTAGGGGGCCCCATGAGATGCCCCTGGTACCTTTTTCATAGGCTTTTTTGAGTTTGGGCAAGGACACAGGGGCCCCATGATCCCCTATTGCCCGGGGGCTCCATGAGTTGTCAGTCCGCCCCTGACAGGGCCGTTTATTTAACATCCCAAGGAACACATACAGAAGTGGCCAATGCAAAATTCGAATGGATACTGTGCTAGGTGAACTTTTATGCAACATACATGTGCACTATGAAGACTCTCACACCTCTGAAAGGTGATCAAAAATAAAAAAATTAAATAAATTAAAACTATGTTAAAAGTGTGCATAAAAAATTGTGAAATATGGTCAAATTAACCTTGGGATATCATACACCATACATATGCTCTATGAAGACCCTCATACCTCTGAAAAGTGATTGAGATTGAAGGTGAATTGAATAATACTGTGCAAAATGTATTCACCACAGATACACATAAAAAACTATGAAATAATGTCAAAACAACAAAGCAATGACTTATTGTCCATATAGACATATAATATAGTCCATATAAAGATAAAGACTCCACAATCAGTGATGATACTGTAAACGATGCTGTAGGTGCAAATGTGGATAGTCTTCCTTCATATGGTTACCAAAGTGTACACCTCCACCAAATAATCGAATGGAGGCTTACCAGAAATGGAGACCCCTTAATTATAGGGGGTCCTAACCAGCATTATGATATAGATCACTAGCAGTCTCTCCATGTCATGCCCAGAACAAGGATTTTCCAGACTTCCAACTCGAATGTGGACTTGAGGTGTAGTGTCAAATGATCATGAAAGAAAAAACATGCAATATGTATCAAAAACTTCTTTATTTGCGCAAATGAAATCCTACTTACAAGCTGTAGAACAGTTAAAAGCATTCACATAAACCATTTCCAAGATGGCCAACAGCACAATGATGTCAGAGTGAGGCTCCTTCTGACACGTTTCATCATCAAAAGACATCCTCTAGGGGCTAGGGGCTCTAGAAGTGGCCAATGCACATGCCCAATGCACATACTGTTGGCAAAAATGCTGGTGCGTTTTTTTTTTCATGTTTTGAGGTACAAAATTATTGGGCCACTGAGTGCATCAGTGCATGAAACCCATGCACAAGCATGGACAGCTCCTAAAAGAGGAACCCCCTTGTTTTTTCCTCCCTCCAACCTTTTCTGCTGGAATATCCACACAAAAAATACTCAAGTGCTCAGCAAATCCAGTAGTGCTCTGTAGGGATATGATGTTCCTCTGCTGTTCACCCAGTTCCATGCCACAGTTTTCTTCTCTGATGTCATTGGGAGCTGACTGTCTTCTATGGGTTCTTGCAGCTGCACACAGGGGCGGACTGACCATTTGGAAACTCGGGCAGAGCCCGAGGGCCCGGGGTCAGTAGGGGGCCCCATGAGATGCCTCTGGTACCTTTTTCATAGGCTTTTTGAGTTTGGGCAAGGACACAGGGGCCCCATGATCCCCTATTGCCCGGGGGCCCCATACCTTGTCAGTCTGCCCCTGGCTGCACCCCACCCCCCTGATGATGCCCATATGTGGAGGCATGTCATCAGGGGGCTGGATAAAGGAGCCCAGAAGACACAGCCAGCTCCCTGATGACACAGCGTGGGGCTTGTGCTGTGAATGGAGGAGTGGAGCAGAAAGGGCAGGCATAGTCTGCACTCTTGACAAGTACCTACTACAGGCGCAGCAGCTGTATTAATCCCCCTCCCCACAGCAAGGAGGGGTGGATTGTTGGGGAGGCTGTGTATATGAATGGTAAAACCTGGACTTGGACGGGTGTGGGGTGGCAGACTAAACTTTTTGGACAGGGCACTACATAACCTCAGTCTGTTTCTTTGTACATGAAAAGTGTCGGCTGCAGTTTGACTGGTGGCTACAACCCCTGATAGTTTCTTCCAGCTCCTGTACGCAAGACCCTTCTGATTGTGATTGTGGATGACGCACATGTTTTATATTCCCTCTATGTAAGGAGCAATCCCGACAAAAGATACGGTTCTGAAGCCAGTTTCAGTTTGTTTCACCTAAAAATACGAGAGAAGCGCTGGCTGAGTCATCCTGATAGTTGCACGGCCATAGAAAAGCGATTATGGCTGATTGTCCTAGAATGCGTCTGTTACGGTGTTATAGTAATTACAGCGTGACATCACCATCACCGCATTACATATCGCACTCTGCTATTGACCCACTTCAAATCACCTAGCCAAGGGGGGGATCAGTGACGTTGTCTGGATTGCTAAAGAATTTATGTTTAAAATGTTCAGAAATGCTGGATGTCTCACTAAGCGGCCTTTGGGTTTTACCAAGCCGCAGGACTATAAGTCTCAGCAAAACAAACTGTAAGATACTGAACACCTTTTGTTTTGATGCACTTGAGATGTATTCATCTGATTTAAAATGAGCATTCAGTTGGATGTGAAAGTGGTTGTAAACCTCAGACATGTAATATGAACAAAGCATATCGCTCTAGAGTGTGTCTGTATAAAGAGCACTAAGTGTCATTTCTGTCCACTGCTCCATTCCTCTGCTATCAGCATGAACCACTTCTGACACGTTTTCCTGACACCAAGAGAAAAATGGTGACAGGGGAGGCAACACACAGCCTGTGACTGACAGCCTCAGCTCTGTTCCTGTGTGCTGTATGGAAGGGGTTTGTCTCTTCCCTCCAATGAGCTCTCAGAGCTCTCCTCACTGATGTAACTTCAGCTCCCTGCCCCCTGCATTTCAGAGCTGAGAGATCCTGTGTACATTCTGCACTTTGCATTGAAGTAGGGAAAAGACGGAAGTAGATAAACAGGTACAACTTATGTCGGAGGATTTGTTTCATCTCTGTGTATCGCCTGAGGACAGTCACTTCACTGGGTATATGTAAGGCTTTGCAACCACTTTAATGCCCATTTACAGCACTGGGCGGGTGCTAAGGTACACAAACCAATGTGTGTATTGTGCATACATCATTACTATCATCTACATTATCATCTACTAAGCAACTTATTCACTCCCTTGTTATATCTCACCTTGACTATTGTAACTCCCTCCTCATTGGCCTACCTAATCGCAGGCTATCCCCTCTCCAGTTTATCATGAATGCTGCTGCCAGACTCATCCACCTTACTAACCGTTCTGTATCTGCCACCCCTCTCTGTTAATCCCTCCAATGGCTTCCCATTGCTCAACAAATAAAATTCAAAACATTAACAATAACATATAAATCCATTTATAGCTCTGCTCCAAATTACATCACCATCATTTGTGTTAAGAGTGGGGATGTGGGGGATTTGTGTTAGGAGGGGGATTTGTGTTAGGAGGGGGAAATGGGGGGGTTGTACTAGGAGGGGGGATTAGGGGGAATTTGTGCTAAGAGAGTTAATTGGGAGGTTGTACTAGGAGGGAGGAATGGGGGGGGGGGGATTTGTGCTAAGAGGGGGGATTTGAGGGGGGAATTTGTGCTAGGAGATGGGATTGGGGGGGTTGTACTAGAAGGGATAAATGGGGGGGGGGGGATTTGTGCTAGGAGGGGGATTGGTGTGGGTTGTGCTAGGAGGAGGAATTTGAGGGGGGAATTTGTGCTAGGAGAGGGAATTGGGGGGTTGTACTAAGAGAGAGGAATGGGGGGGGGAATTTGTGCTAGGAGGGGGGATTGGTGTGGGTTGTGCTAGGAGGGGGGATTTGAGGTGGGGATTTGTGCTAGGAGAGGGGATTGGAGGGGATTTGCCCTAGGAGAGGGGATTGGGTGGGGATTTGTGCTAGGAGAGTGGGATTGGGGGATTTGTGTTGGGGGGGATTGTGCTAATAGGGGGGATTGGGAGGGGTTGTGCTAGGAGAGTGGGATTGGGGAATTTGTGTTGGGGGGGATTGTGCTAATAGGGGGGATTGGGAGGGGTTGTGCTAGGAGAGTGGGATTGGGGGATTTGTGTTCGGGGGGGGGGGGGGTTGTGCTAATAGGGGGGATTGGGAGGGGTTGTGCTAGGAGGGGGGATTTGTGCTATAAGGGTAATGTGGAGGGGGTTGTGCTAGGAGGAGGGATTTAGAGGGATTTGTGCTATGATGCAGGATTGAGGAGAGTTATGCTAGGAGTGGTGATTTGTGGGAGAGGTCTTGTGCTAGGGTGGAAAGTTTGAGGGGAAAGAGGATGTGTGCTAGGAGGGGCAAAGTAGCACTACAGGTGAAGTTTTATTTTTTTGGGGGGGAGGGTGCAAGTAGCTGGTGTTGTCAAAATAGTCTAGTACCGGACCTGCCGGTGGATATCAGAAGAAGGGAACCGATGATCCTGTGGCAGTGTGAGTAGACGACCCAAATACTGGAAATTTAGTGACTGTGTGTTACTTTTGGTCTCTTGGGAGAAGTCATAGTCACCTTCCGTATTAGAGATTCAGTGTGACATTTTTGTGCAGCTCAGCAAGATAGAGAAGCGTCCTCAAATTGTCCAGTTCACAAGTTTTGGGGTATCCCATGCTCCCTTCACCCCATTCAAGTTCAATGTTACAATAAAACCCCAAAAAGACACCCCCAGACTGTTCTATTTGAGCCAGTGAAAGAGTGAAGAAAACGTGTGCCTGGTTGTGTATGCACTAACTGGATATAAATGAGAGTCATTGAATAAGAGTCAGTTTTCCAGTGGCTCCTTAGAGGTGTGCTACAAACATTTATCCTCCAGATCTTTGAACAATCACAGCCATGCTGTCAATTCTTGGATAATATCTCATTTGAAGACAATCATAGATGTACGTGTTTCATATTCTGTTCTCACTTTAGTGAACTAGTCTAGCAATTCAATTTCTGTCTGACCATCTGCACACATGTATATACACAGGGCAGGGGCGGACTGACCATTTGGAAACTCGGGCACTGCCCGAGGGCCCGGGGTCAGTAGGGGGCCCCATGAGATGCCCCTGGTACCTTTTTCCATAGGCGTTTTTGAGTTTGAGCAAGGACACAGGGGCCCCTTGATCCCCTATTGCCGGGGGGCCCCATGAGTTGTCAGTCTGCCCCTGTTCACACCTAGCTGTAGAACAGTTAAAAGCATTCACATAAACCATTTCCAAGATGGCCAACAGCACAATGATGTCAGAGTGAGGCTCCTTCTGACACGTTTCATCATCAAAAGACATCCTCTAGGGGCTAGGGGCTCTAGAAGTGGCCAATGCACATGCCCAATGCACATACTGTTGGCAAAAATGCTGGTGCGTTTTTTTTTCATGTTTTGAGGTACAAAATTATTGGGCCACTGAGTGCATCAGTGCATGAAACCCATGCACAAGCATGGACAGCTCCTAAAAGAGGAACCCCCTTGTTTTTTTCCTCCCTCCAACCTTTTCTGCTGGAATATCCACACAAAAAATACTCAAGTGCTCAGCAAATCCAGTAGTGCTCTGTAGGGATATGATGTTCCTCTGCTGTTCACCCAGTTCCATGCCACAGTTTTCTTCTCTGATGTCATTGGGAGCTGACTGTCTTCTATGGGTTCTTGCAGCTGCACACAGGGGCGGACTGACCATTTGGAAACTCGGGCAGAGCCTGAGGGCCCGGGGGGTCAGTAGGGGGCCCCATGAGATGCCTCTGGTACCTTTTTCATAGGCTTTTTGAGTTTGGGCAAGGACACAGGGGCCCCATGATCCCCTATTGCCCGGGGGCCCCATGAGTTGTCAGTCCGCCCCTGACACAGGGTGTCCCAAAAGTCTAAGTTCATAGGCAAAAATGTATTTAAAACTTTTGAAAACGTTTTGGTCATGGATTTAATGACACTTGGGTGCACAAGAACACAAGAACATTGTACATTTCCTAATGTAGAAGAACTGTTTGTTACATGCAGAGATGATTCCTTTTTTAGTGCAATCAATGTTCTGTTCCGATTCTGATAAACTACTGACTTCAGATGACCTCGAAAGAAAAAGTTGAGTGGTGTTAGCTCTGGAGATGTAGAAGGCCGTTTGACTGGACCTCACATTCTGATCCATCTGGCTTCATCTAAAACTTTCTCACAGCAATAGCTGCTGAAACCATCTTGCCAAATCCACATTTTATATTTTACCTACGTGGATTCCCATCTAATAGAGAGAGAGGAAAGGATTGCAACATGCAGAGGTAAGCTCTCCTGTTACATTGCTATAAAAAATGGTCCAATCTGTCATTAAATATCTCTCACACCATAATTCTTGGATGAGCTTGGAAATAACATTCAAGTGTTACTAAATCCAGGAACCTGTATTCACTATATCTGGTCTCCTACAGTACACAGAACAAGGAAATGAAATTATTTTAGTAAATATAAACTTCTAAATACCTTTTCTCATCAGCAGTTAGAACAGTCTTGTGACTTCTATCAATTTCCAGCAGAGCACTGGTTAAAGCTGGAAGCAGGAGTTTTCATTCTCCCCTGAATATCCTATGAGGCTGCAGGACCCCTGACCCTCTGTCTGGACAGTGCTGATTGGCCCTGTGCTGATCACATGCACTCTCCCTACTACAACAACAACAAAAACTCTCTAGCAATACAAACCAAACTGAGCATGTACAACTTGCCCCCCAAGGCTCTGTTCTATCAGCAGATGGATTTGGAACAGTAGAAGAAGGGGAGGACCAGAGAAAACAGGATCAAACATCCTTTTAACACAATGCAGAGGATTAACCCCTTAGGTTCCACAGTGAGTATAACAAACAAGCATGCTTTACTGCATATACAGACTGATTTTACTGTTGTGGGTTTAGTAACACTTTCAGCCATCCAGTTTGGGTCATTTTCTGACCAGTAATGTGCATTATGCAGGTTGACACTACCGCTGAGATGAAATGAGGCTTTATCACTGTAAAACAAAATTCATTCCCACTGTTGTAAGAACGACTCACAGTATTCTATACTGTCTGTATCTATCCCATGCAACTCATGAACCAGCTGCACTTGATAAGGATGACAATATGGACAACTTGTATATAGTGAGTGCCCCAACAGGAGAATCAGGGCCCCAACACTGGCAGAGACTGTACTGAGCCCCATGGCCAATCATATAGGTAGGGACTCTTGCTCACAGACAGGGCATGTTTAGGCCAACTGTGCTGACATTTTTGAATTGTTCTGATGTTGCAATGCTTTTAGTATATAACTCACCATTTATTCCTACAGGGCTTTTCCTGTTAATAAATCTTGTTTACAAAGGTTCTAGGTGTGTCGGTGTCACTTAGTTGTACAGGGAGGGTCATCATTAGAGTAGGGCACTAGGACCTAAACCGTATCTGCAAAATTGATTCAGGTGGTCTCTTCTGCAAATCTAGTCTTGAGAAATGTGGATAGTTCCTTTAAAGCGTATTAAACCCCAAACCACAAATGTAATATACAGTATTGCAGCTTACCATGCCTTAGATGTGACTGCATTCGTTTTCTTTATTAGGCTTCCCTCTGTTTTCCCCCGGTGATCTGGCCAGTAATACACCTCCTGTATTACAGTGCCCCCACTGTGGATAACAGAGCACAGGGGGCAACTTTGGACTGTCTGGGAAGAGAGGAGGGTTAGATGGACTAGCAGATTTAAAGTGATTGTAAAGGCTCAAAGTTTTTTACCTTCATGCATTTTATGCATGAAGGTAAAAAAACCTTCTGTGTGCAGCAACCCCCCCAATACTTACCCGAGCCACCTATGGACCCAGCGATGTGCACGACAGCAGCAGCTCTCCTGGGACTCTCCCTTCTCATTGGCTGAGACAGCAGCCATTGGCTCCTGCTACTCTCAATCACAGCCAGTAAGCCAATGATGAGAGAATGGGGGCGGGGCTGAGCCATGCTCCGTGTGTGATTAGACACGGAAAGCAGCATCTTGGGAGCAAGCCTGCTTGGGTGCACAAGGAACTTGTCAGGAGGGAGGGGCCAGGAGGAGAATCAGGGCTGCTCCATGCAAAACCACTGAACAGAGCAGGTAGTAGCCAGACTTGAGCTAATACTTTATACACAGTTACAACAGTTTTTCTTTTGGGATAAAAGTTCTATATAAATAAAAAAAGCTGATCATTGTAAGCACCCCTGACAGTGGTAAATGGTTTGTCTCATCCCTGTAACTGACACATCTGCAAGAGAGCTTGTTCTTTTGAAAAACAACAGACTTACTGGCTGGATCACCAGATGAAAGTATGAAAAGCAAATGGATGCTGCCATCATGTCTAAGAATTGGTAAAGCAATATAATAAACGTTACTTTTGGGTTTAATACTGCTTTTATTTGTTATAAATGATTCCTTTTTATCTCCAGCAGAAGGGCCCACAACAAGAAGAAGAAAAAAATTCCAGCCCAGCGCCAATGGCCTCCAGCTGCAGGGAAATGCAGTCTCTTCAAGCATGAATTACAAAGTGACTGACAGCTCTCAGTGACAGGGGGCCTGGAACAAAGCAACCATCACTCATTAGTAAACATCGATTTTCGCCGTCCGTCTCTCACCTCTGACATGGAAATGACAGGGCGGCTTTGTGTTGAGAGAAGTGCTCTGTGTCTGTCCATCTCTGTACTCAGGAACAGACACCATGGTCATGGGCATACCCGGATGGGCTTGGCCAGTGTTGCGAGACCTATGGGAACACCGGTAGTGTCTAACATCCCCATTGATGCAGATATCCCCCTCCTTCTGTTCATCTGCGACAATGCATTTTCTAGATAGAATGCCTTCCCGCGTGCCTTGCCACAGAATGAATAAATCTATAAATAGAGGCTAATGCAGTTCTAGGACGGCGTAGTACAACTTGTCTCGGCACAGGATGCTCATCTCCCAGCAATGGCGTCTATGCTGCAGAGACGTTAACTCTTTCGCCACCGTATATATAAGCTGGCGTGATGCCGTTGGGTTCAAGAAGAATCCCCGCACTTATTTCGGAGCAGGGAATTGTGTTAAAGGGACACCACAGGTTTTGCATAGTTACATTGTATTTATTTTTTTAGGAGTTTTTAGTGGCAGATGTTAGAGTAACATTTATTAGTAATGCCCTCACACACCTGGGAGATTTTTCTTAGTGTGATCCTGTTATGAAAACAACGTGCAAATGATCACATCTTGCAATTTGGGATGGGGCATAATGGTAAGCACATTTTTTTAGAAAAACACTACCTTATATCATTTGAAAGCCACCCTTGAGCCCCCAGTCAGTGTCTTTTGTATAGGCTGAGATGATGTAATCAGTCTGCTGCAGGCAGGAGTTAGAATTTCTTCAGTCCCCCTGGATGATGCCTGAACAAAGATGGTGCAGTTCTTCTGTAGAGAAAAGCAGGTAAAGGCATTGTCAGGGAATTTACTGTGGTCTCTGCAAGAGGTCATACATTCCTGTTAATGTTGGCAAATTATTTAGCAGATATGTACATAACATAAAAATATATATTGAAAGACAGGTCCACTTTAAAATGAAGGTGTTCACAGATGGTAACATGTCTTTCCCAAGAACCAAGCATCACTTCCCTTGTGCTGGGAAACTTTAGGCCAGGACTGGATTGTACAAATAACTGGATGTTCTCTGTGCTTCTTCAAAGCAGCAGCTGACTGTATGAAGCATATTGACTCAGAGACTGACAATCAGGAGTGAATGTTATCTGCGCCCCTCCACCCCACGGTAAACAGTGACATGCTCGCCAACTATTTGTGTCTCATCACAGTGACATACCTGAGTGTGATCAGTGCGGCACCCACACGCACTTTTATGTGATTACCCCGGGGCTATCGACAATACACTCACTCAGATCCCACACCTGTTAAAGGTGCATTGCCAAAATCATACATACACTCAGAGATATAGATAGATAGATAGATAAATAGATAGATAGATATCAGGGGCGGACTGACAACTCATGGGGCCCCCGGCAATAAGGGATCATGGGGCCCCTGTGTCCTTGCCCAAACTCAAAAAAGCCTATGAAAAAGGTACCAGGGGCA